GTCTTCTATATGACAGCCCTTCAAATTCTTGAAGATGGCTATCATATAACCTCTCAGTCATCTCTTCCCTCATAGGACTTGGTCTCCAGACCCCTCACCAGTTTGGTGTAGTGGTTAAGTGTGCGGACTCTAATCTGGGAGAACCGGGTTTGATTCCCCACTCCTCCACTTGCACCTGCTGATGTGACCTTGGGTCAGTCACAAGATCTGGCACAGCTGTCCTTGAAAAAGAGCAGTTTGTGGCAGAGTTCTCTCAGCCCCACCCACCTCACAGGGTGTCTGTTGTGGGGAGGGGAAGGGAAAGGAGTTTGTAAGCCACTCTGAGACTACAAGTGAAGGGCGGGGTATAAATCCAATCTCTTCTTCTCTTCTTCTTCCTCTGGACACGTTCCAGCTTGTCAACATCGTTTTTAAACTGGTGCCCAAAACTGAACACAGTACTCCAAGCGAGGTCTAACCTGAGCAGAGCAAAGCAGTACCATCACTTCACAGGATCTGTACAGTATACGTCTGTTGATGCAGCCCAAAATCGCATTTGCCTTTTTAGCTGTTGCATCACACTGCTGACTCACGTTCAGCACACGGTCTACTAAGGGGCAGAGTGGCTCAGTGGCAGAGCAGCGTGCTCGCATCTGGAAGGTCCCAGGTTCATTCCCCGGCATTTCCAGCTAAAGAGAATCAAGTAGTAGTAGTGTTAGTAGCTGTTCTCTCAAGGGCAGTTCTTGGGAGAGCTCTCTCAACCCCGCCTACCTCACAGGGTGTCTGTTGTGGGAAGGGAAAGGGATTGCAAGCTGAGACTCCTTTGGGTAGTGAGGGACAGGGTATAAATCCAATCTCCTCCTCTTCTGCCTGAGACCCTCGAGAGCTTCTGCCAGTTTGAGTAGACAAGACTGGCTTTGATGTACCACGGGTCAGTTCAGTGTTAGTCAGCTTCATGGGTATGCAAGTGGACTGCCTTTTTGCATGCACTACTGCCAAGACAAGTCTCCCCCATCCTGCAATTATGCATTTGATATTTTTCCTACCTAAATTGGATATTTTCCCTACCTAAATGCAGAACGGGATTGCTCTCTTTAAATATTTGAAAGGCTGTCATTGGGAGGAGGGCAAGGAGCTTTCCCAGTTGGCAGCAGAGGAGAGGACCCGAAGCAACGGGTTTAAGTTACATGCAGAAAGGTATCGGTTGGATATCAGGAAACACTTTTTCACGGTCAGAGTGGTTCAGAGGTGGAATCAGCTGCCTGGGGAGGTGGGTAGCTCCCCTTCACTGGCAGGTTTCAAGAAAAGGCTGGACAGATATTTGTCAGGGATGCTCTAGGCTGGTCCTGCGTTGGGCAGGGGGTTGGACAAGATGGCCTGTATGGTTCTGTGATTCTATAACAGCGGAATCAGCTGCCTAGAGAGGTGGTGAGCTCCCCTTCACTGGCAGCTTTCAAGAAGAGGCTGGACGGATATTTGTCAGGGATGCTTCAGGCTGCTCCTGCATCGGGCAGGGGGTTGGACTAGAGGGTCTGTATGGCCCCTTCCAACTCTATGATTCTATGAAAATGACTGGTACCCCTTGACCCGATTTCAGCATGCCAAGGCAGACTTAGCAGAACCCTATCAGTGGCCATGTAAGGTTTGCACAGGGACAAGAGTTCCCCCTTTTTAATAATGAATATAATTTCAACTTTGGACCAGCCAAGCAATGCCCAGTGGCTTAAGTCTTGGGTTGCATTAAAAGGGCCATAGTATCATAATCGCAGGAGGTCACAGCCCCTCTGTACACTGCCTTGGTCAGGCCGCACCTGGAGTCCTGTGTGTGCAGTTCTGGAGGCCTCACCTCAAAAAGGATGTGGGCAAAATCGAGAGCGTGCAGAAGAGAGCGACAAGGATGGTCAGGGGTCTGGAGACTGAGCCCCAGGAGGAAAGGCTGAGGGCCCTGGGAATGTTTAGCTTGGAGAAGAGGAGACTGAGGGGGGACAGGATTGCTCTCTTTAGATATTTGAAAGGCCGTCATTGGGAGGAGGGCAAGGAGCCGTTCCAGTCGGCAGCAGAGGACAGGACCTGAAGCAATGGGTTTAAATGACATGCGGAAAGGTATCGGCTGGATATTAGGAAACACTTTTTCACGGTCAGAGTGGTTCAACGGTGGAATCAGCTGCCTAGGGGGGTGGGTAGCTCCCCTTCACTGACAGCTTTCAAGAAGAAGCTGGACGGATATTTGTCAGAGACGCTTTAGGCTGGTCCTGCATTGGGCAGGGGGTTGGACTAGAGGGTCTCTGTATGGCCCCTTCCAACTCTGTGATTCTATAACTGTACGTTTATCTCTGTTGAAATTCATTTTGTTAGTCTTAGCCCAGTTTTCCCAGCCTGTCAAGATCCTCCTTCGTCTGTGTGCAAACGTCAGAAACGTGACTGGAAAACTAACTCTTGCGGTTTTGCTCCTAGTACCACCGAGAACGTTGCGGTGTTCATCTGGGAAAACCTCCAGAAACGTCTCCCGAAGGGGACTCTTTATAAAGTCAAAGTGTACGAAACAGACAAGAACATTGTCGTCTACAAGGGAGAGGAGGCTCTTCCTCGAAGAATTGATGCTGTATGTGTCTCGGCGCCCCAGTCTGTCGCTGGAGAATGAACCTAATCAGTGGATTGATGAACGTTATCGGATAAGTGTAGCTGTCACGTGTATATTTTTTTCAAAATGTAATTCAAGGGAATTATAGCGTTCCGGCTAGAAGAGGCTCTCTTGTGCAGCTCTGTGCCTTGGGGATTTGTTGCTCTCTCGACGCTTCTTCACCAAAACATTCCATTTCTCAAAGCTGCAAATTCCCCTCCATTTCATTTCTATTATCCTGAGAGTTGGGGAGAGAAGAGTTTTAATTCCTTGTCAAGATGCACGCAAAGCCCAGTGCCTCTGGTTCGAATCTTGCCTCTCCTATGACCTCCATAAGCTGCCTGCAGTCAGCCCAGGATCTACAGTGTGGAGGTAATATTGCCCTACCTGACCGGATTGTTGTAAGGATTGCAGAGAGGTAATTTATACAAAATGATTTGAATAGTCTCAAGTGCTGTATAAAGGTGGACTAGGAATATCACTGTGCCAGACTTTTTTGTACCGAGGTCTGAGTTTCCTGCCTGATAATAATTATATGCCTTTTTTAGGTTACAGGAGTTTTACTGTTTTTAATAGAGTGGAGAAAATATAAGTGAATAAGAGATGGCCACTGACATAGAGAGCTTTTTTAAAGGGGTGATTCAAATTGATGGAGGGTAGGTCAAGAAAAGGCCATGACAGCTAGTTGGAACCTCCATATTCAGAGGTAGTATACCCAGGGCCGGCCCGAGGTGTTTCTGCGCCCTAGGCGAGGTGCAGATGCCAACCCCCCAGTGGGCGCCTTTGCTGCGAGCTTCGAGTTTCAACCAGAGGCGCGGGGGTGTTCTGCAGCCGGGGGTCTTCTGCCGGCAGGCCTGGCCTCCGGGGCGCCCTCAAGGGTCGGGGCGAGCTGGGGGGGAGGGGGCATCTCTCCACTTCTTTTCCCCAGCGGAGGGTGCAGAAGGGTGTCGCTCGCCACGAGAGAGCCTGGCTCTGCTGAAGCCCTTGGGAGGGACTGAGTGCTAGTGCGGAGCTGGTGCACCTGGGACCTGGCGGTCTGCCCATCTGACCCAGTGAGGGGCAGGGGCGGCCCCTGTGCCAAGAGGGGTTGGGGTGTCGGGGACGCAGGCAGCCCGCAGTGCTGAACTCTGCTTCGGGCAGGCAGTTGGGTTGAGGAGGCAGCAGTCGGTCGGGCGCGGGAGACCAGGGCCCTGCAGGTGCCGCCCAGACCCCCTCTGGAGACTGGGGCTGCCCCCACCAATGATCCACTCTCAGTCCACTCTCCCCCCTCCCGATCCCGCCGTATGGACTGACCCCATCCGGCCGGAAAGCACCTTCAAAGCGGATTCTGTTGTTTGGGTGGGTGGAGTCGCGCCTTTGCTGCCTTCCTCTTGCTCAATCCGCGGGAAGGGCTTCCCGGGGGGGGGGACACACTGCTGTTCCTGCCTGTGCTGCGCCCCTCCGTGTCCTTTTGGTGGGGGCTGGGGGGCTTTGGCGGGGTGCCGGGTCCTGTTTTGCGCCCCTAAGGGCTGGCCTAGTTCGCCTAGCGGGTGAGCCGGCCCTGAGTATACCTTGGCCTACCAGATTCTGGGAACCAACAGGAGATGAGGGGCTGTTGTATCCACACCCTATTGGTATGTCGCACATACAAGAAGCTCTCCGGGTACAGCTTCTTCTCTCACAGTGTGGAAGGGATGAGGGTCTGTGGGGGAGGAGGGGGAGGAGATTGGATTTATACCCCGCCTTTCACTCGGAGTCTCAGAGCGGCTTACAAACTCCTTTCCCTTCCCCTCCCCACAACAGACACCCTGTGAAGTAGGCGGGGCTGAGAGAGCTCTTGACAGAAACTGCTCTTTTTCAAGGACAGCTCTTCTCAGAACTGTGGCTTGCCCAAGGTCATCCAGCAGGTGCAAGTGGAGGGGTGGGGAATCAAACCCAGTTCTCCTAGATTAGAGTCCGCACATTTCACCACTACACAAAACTGGAGAAAAGGCTGTGCCCGCTGAGCTTTCCTGTGTGTTGCAGACCCTGCTGCCAATAGCTTGGTGACCCCAGCCTAGTATGGAAGGTAGAACCAACTCCCAGTGAACTCTGGTACTCCAGACGCTGGCTGGTTGCCGGAGGCAGGCCTTTATAAGCAGCACACGCATTAAGTGATGTGAGCAGGATAGAAGATAAACAGTGACGTTTGTGAGTTCAACAACCTCATCTCCATACAGCCGGCCTTATTAGGGAGACAGCAGTGCTCTGCCTGCCTTCCAAGTATCACCCCTTGTCTGCAGCCGATCCAGCCTGAGACCCCAGTGTGATCAGGTTGCAGCTGGCATTCTAACATGGTAAACAGACATTCTTGTCGCCTCTGGCGAGCATAATTTGCCTCCAGGTGACCAGACAAGGCAGTGTTAGCAAACTGGCAGGGTGCCGGTGGTTCTTCTTCCCTTGCTGCCGCTGATGTACCACGGGCGACTAGTGAAGTTATGCGGTGGCAGGCAGCGTTCCCTCTAAGCTGAGTTAGTGTGAGCTGGCTCACAGTTTTTTAGCCTCCAGCTCACACATTTTTGTCTTAGCTCGGGAAGGACGGCTCCAGAGCAAACTAATTTATGCAGCAGCCGGATCGCTCGCTCACAACTTTAATGCCAGTAGCTTGTTCACAAGACTCCACAGCTTAGAGGGAGCATTGGTGGCAGGCAGATTTTGCATTTGCAAGGTTAAGGGGACTGGTTTAATTAAACAACCTTATTTCTCAAGTATAACAGAGAAGGCAAACCTGCCCTAACCCAGCCTTGTGTTCTTGCAGTCTTCAAGCATTTGAAGGGCTGTCATGTAGAAGATGGAGCGGATCTATTCTCTCTTGCTCCGGATTGCAAGACTAAATCTAACGGGTGGAAATTACAAGGGAGTCATTACCGGCTAAATATCAGGAGAAACTTCCTAACTGTCAGAGTGGTTGAGCAGTGGAACAGTCTGCCTCGGGAGGTGGTGGAGGCTCCTTTGCTGGATGTTTTCAAGCAGAGGCTGGACGACCATCTCTCGGGCATGTTGTAGGGCTATCTTTCGGCTATGCTCCTGCAGAGTGCAGGGGGTTGGACTAGATGACCTGCAAGGTCCCTTTCAACTCTAACATTCTATGATTCTCATCCAGAATCCTCTTAATTTAGCAGAACAGGCGGGAACAGCAGCAAATGATACAGACTGGCTTAGGGAACTCCATATTGGCGGTTGGACCTGGGTTCAAGTCCCGGCTCTGCCATGATCTTACTGGGTGGTTTGGAGCAAGTTGTTCGTATCTTCTTCACCCATGAAAGGAAAGGGTACAAAAGATATCTTGGCACTGTCATAATTGTTGATTGGTTCTCTGGAGGGCATAGGAACTCTTGACTGCTAAATTCGATCTTCCAAGCAGTCTTATTGTATCTGAGTTCTAGCAAGAAATAACGCCAGGTGTAGTGTGCCCCTTTTCATTTCATAGAAAAAGAGGTGCAGGAGCTCATTAGCATAACTCATTAGCGTAACTTATTTGCATATGCCACACCCCCTGACATCACCGGAAGTGTGTCAGAAGGCAACACCCACCGCTCAGGCTCCACTGGACTTTTTTGGCTTGCTAGCTATTGGGGGGGGGGGATGTGCAGATCTGTCCTCGCAGAGGAGGGAGAGCTTGTACTTGAATAAAACTTGGTCTTAAAGGTGCCACTGGACTGTTTTGGACCGGGGGGCCGGGGGGAGCTCTGCGACTTACCTGGCTACTTCTTGCTCTGACTGAGGGCTGCTGGGAGCAGGGGGTGGGGCTTGTTGCATGTGCCTGCCCCCTGGGCTCTTTACTGCTGGAGCTCCACTCCTGTGCGCTCCTGCAGGAAATGACCCCTGGTGTGCCCTGTGCTTCTCCGAAACACATTCACAGTATGCACGGACATGAACAGAGGCGACAGAGCAGCCGGGCATGTCTTGACCAGGGGAGATAGACACCTGCCTTCGTTAGAGCCAGCCCTCTTTTACCCACCCCCCCCGTTCATTTTATACAACCCAGTCTTTAACCTCTGCTTTCTGGCCGTGGCACAAACTGTGGTGAAATAATGCCTCTCGCTCATTAATGGGCAGAAACGATGGTGGGAAATACCTCCTCAGCCGTAACGCAGCACAGTGTTTCCTATCGGATCAGGGGCTTCAGCATTCATAAAGTTTAATAGCCCCGAAAACGGCCCCTGTCCAGGTATTCTGTTTATTAAATGAAACCGGAATGAAACCTCTTGCGTTGTACAAACCCGGCGAGCGATCCCGGTGTTGTGGGCCGTCCAATTAGCTGCCACCTGAAGCATCTCCATCAAGTAAGATCTGCTGTCAGGTTATTTGCACCTCTTCTGACCAATGTCCCCTCTAAGCTGTGGAGTCTTGTGAGCAAAAATTCTACTTTGTGAGCCACTGGCACTAAAGTTGATTTGGCTGCTGCATAAGCTAGTTTGCTCTGGAGCCATCCCTTCCTGAGCTAAGGCAAAAATGTGTGAGCTGGAGGCTAAGAAACTGTGAGCTAGCTCACACTAACTCAGCTTAGAGGGAACACTGCTTCTGACACAGCACACTGCAAAGGGGGGGGGGTTGAATCATGTCAAGGCATGATTTGATGGCTATAACCATGTGTGACGGCTCGCGATTGTGCCCAGAGGCGCAGTGTCCTAGAGGGACTATCAACGTCACTTCAGAACACAGTGGAAAAGTTCAGGCATAATGAGAAACAATGGTTTGTCATGTAAATGAGCTGTGTGTGTGTTTGTGTTCTGAGGCTCTGTTGCCACTGGGCACGACTCTTGCTAATGAAAACATCCAGTTTCTGTTGAAAATGATCTGCAGTTTCTCCCTTTCCCCTCTAAACAAGGATTCCAGACTCTGGTTTAACCCTGGTTGGAACAGAAGAAGAAGAAGAAGAAGAGGAGATTGGATTTACACCCCATGGCTCTTCACTACCCAAAGGTGTCTCAGAGCACCCTGTGAGGTGGGTGGGGCTGAGAGAGCTCTTTCAGGAACTGCTCTTTTTCAAGAACAGCTCTTATCAGAGCTACAGCTTGCCCAAGGTCATCCAGCCAGGTGCAAGTGGAGGAGTGGGGAATCAAACCCGGTTCTCCCAGATTAGAGTCCGCACACTTAACCACTACACCAAAGAGAGCCAACGGTTTCAGATTTGGACACCGGCAAGCTCTGATTTGCCTTGAAAGTGGACATATTGAATTTGCAAGTTGTGTGCCTAGGGAGAGTGCGCAGGGCCTTGAGAATCTGCCAGGATAATTCCTGCGACCACATGGGCTTGTATTCAAACAAAAGCAAATGTACAAATTAAGTAGAGTTGGTCCCCATCCCCACCCTAGGGGCCGTGGTGGCTCAGTGATTTAGACACTGAGCTGCGGACCAGAAGGTCTGTGGTTGGGCAGTTCGAGACCCGAGTGCTGCGTGACGGAGTGAGCTCCTGTCTCTGGCCCCAGCTCCTGCCAACCTAGCAGTTTGAAAGCAAGAAATTGCAAGTAGATAAATAGGTACCGCTTCGGTGGAAAGGTAACAGCGTTCCGTGCGCCTCGGCGTGTAGTCATGCTGGCCACATGACCATGGAAACGTCTTCGGACAGCGCTGGCTCTTCGGCTTGGAAACAGATGAGCACCGCGCCCTAGAGTCG